CACACACACACACACACACACACACACACACACACACACACACGGCCCAGGTGACCCTGTGGGGCTGCCTGGCTGTCAATTCACCTTTGGGCCTGGTGCCAATCAGCCTGCCAGGAAGACAATAATCACGACATTCCCATACCCATTAACAGACTTTGTCACAAGAGCCAGAAATCAAATCCCAGCTCTGGCTCCACCTTACCCACGCATAAGGGGCTAAAGTCAATAGGTTAAACTCATTTTCTAATCCACAGCCATGTAGAATCCCCATCACAGGGCTTAGCCAATGTCCCTGGCAAAAGGGACAACAAATGCCTTGCTCTCCTGGAGCACATCCTGGGCAGTCCAGGCCTGGCAAGAAGGGACAGAGAAGGGCAGAGACAAGGTTGCCATGTTTCTTGCTCAAGATAAGAAGTCACAATCAGCTACAAACCTCATCTCCCCGTGAGGCCATGAGAGGAATGCTGGCTTCATGAAATACACTGAAATACAGTGTGAAAGAAGTTCAGGCTCTCAGGCCTCCAAGTAAGCTCCGCTGCACTGGGTACACACACGGCCCAGCGGAAGGATGAAGCCCAGGACTCACCCAGACAAGTCTGCTGGAAGCTTCTAAGGAACCACCAATAGTCAAATTCTACCCTGCTCCCAGAACTCTGTCCCACTTGTACAGAGCAAGAAGCGAGCTGGGCGCCAGTGGCTCACACCTGTAATCCTGGCTACTCAGGAGGCTGAGATCTGAGGATCGCGGTTCAAAGCCAGCCCAGGCAGGAAAGGCCATGAGACTCTTTATCTCCAATAAAAACCACTAGAAAACCGATAGTGGGGCTGTGGCTCAAGTGGTAGAGAGCTCACCTTGAGCTGAAGAGTGCAGGGACAGCGCCCAAGCCCAGAGTTCAAGCTCCATGACCAACCGGGGGAGAGGGGAGCCGGGAAGCAGGCCAGGCAACAGGATCTGGAAACCAGGGGTCACGGGAGCGGCCTGGTGCCCAGCCTGGAATGCACACTCCACACCCCAGCCCGTTCCAAGGGACTCTGTAGCCCAGGACAAGCAGGAGGTGGCCTCCAGACTCAGCTGTCCTTCCAGCTGAGATGCAGAGAAAAACACTAGACTACACTCAGACTCACTCACGATGAAAGACAGAAAGCAAGGCGGTCTGTGCAAAGCGTACCCTGCTTCTCTTTTAGGGAGGTTTCTGTCTCATTTGCAGTGCTGGAGGTGGAACTGAGGGCCTCTGTTTCAGGGCAAGCAACCTACCACACTCCCAGCCTCTCCCCTCACACTCCAAGTTTTTGTTTTAGGCTTCTGTTTCTGTGCTGGTTCTGGGGCTTGAACTGAGGGCCTAGATATTGTCCCTTAGTTTTTTACTCAAGGCATTTGCTCTGTACCACTTGAGCCACAAGTCCACTTTCCAGCTTTTTGAGGGTTAATTGGAGGTTAGTCTCACAGACTTTTCTGTCTGGGCTGTCCTCAGATCTCAGCCTCCTGAACAGGTAGAATTACAGGCGTGAGCTACAGGTGTCTGACTTCATACTTCAAGTTTTTTTTTTTTTTTTTTGTCGGTTGTGGGGCTTGGACTCTGGGCCTGGGCGCTGTCCCTCAGCTCTTCAGCTCAAGGCGAGCGCTCTACCACTTGAGCTACAGCGCCACTTCCGGTTTTCTGGTGGTTTATTGGAGATAGGAGTCTCACGGTCTCTCCTGCCCGGGCTGGCTTTGAACCGCGATCCTCAGATCTCAGCCTCCTGAGTAGCTAGGATTACAGACGTGAGCCACCAGCGCCCGGCTATCCCTGATTTCTTAAGACATCACTCCACAGGTCAGTAACATTTTCTCCCTTGCTGCAGGGGCACACATACACAGCAACTTGGAAAGGCAGCAGAACGCCAGAGGGAGCAATGCCTGGCTTGACATTTGTGTGGAGTCTCCTTTTTTCCCTAAGTTGTTTTAGGTGGGACTTTAGTCATCTGCTGCAGAAGTAATCTAAGACAAGCTGTGTGCTGGCCTGGGACAAAGAGGATGGGGAGGTAACAGTGAACCTCATCCAACCAAGGATCTGAGAGGAGAGGAAGACATGCACAACACCTACCTCGTGAGCCGCGGGTGAAGTCCAGGAGAATGGAGACCTTGAGGTCAGAAGGAAGCTTTGCTTGAAGAGACTTTTCTAGAGTATTTTCCAGGCAATCCACCTGCCGGGCAAAGAACCCAAAGCAACAGAAGAGCAAAAAGACATTGGTGCATCTAAAAAGACAGTATCTAGGAATTTGCATCCAGTCAAGTGTTAAGACAGCTCTACATGATGAACTCGGTGACTGTCACCAGAAACAACCATCAAACACCCACCCCAGCCTGGGCCCTGGGGAAAGAAGGAAGTGTTCAGGCCAGAGGGCTGGGCCTTTGCCACTCTTGGAAACGCCCTCCAAGACACATGTTTCTACACATAATCCTCATAGACATGCAACATCCTACTCATGGACAGTATTGGTAAATATTTGCTGAACAAATGAATCCAAGATACAATCTGTCAACTGGCCCTTCGCCATTGCATTCCTCCCCTGGGAGAACAAACATGCTTTGCAAGCATGCAGCTCACAGTGTGACCTGAAGATGGTGCCCACAGGCACTGAAGTGGGGAGCACTTAGGCTACCCAGCCTTCCCCTATTTCTTTCCTTCCTTTCCTCTGAGCAGAGCAATCCCAGAGACAGGACCAAGTAATGGCCTCAGTCAAACTCCCTTTAACCCCACCCCGGTGCTGCCTCAGCAGCTACAGACAGCACCCTGGACATATCCTGCCAGCCTCACTAAAGTAACAAGCGTCACAAGCCAACAAGGCCACGTAGAAACCTGGCAGCAGATGCCAGATTTGGCAACCAAGCTGGCCAGTCCAACCTGCATTTGATTAGCTTGTTTAGCATGGAGTCAGAAAACCTTTTCTGAACAGAGGTGCTTAGTGTCATAATTACTCCTCTGTGTCACTGTGACAGGACCACAGCCCCAGACAGCACATCATGATGGGTAATTATGCTAAATAAAACCTAGTGGATGGCCAGGTGGCAGTGGTTCACACCTATAACCCTAACTTCTCAAACTTAGGAGTTTGAGATCTGAGGGTTGTGGTTCAAAGCCAGCCCAGGCAGGAAAGTCCATGAAACTCTTAACGCCAATTAACCGCCAGAGGTGGAGCCATGGCTCAAGGTGGTAGAGTGCTAGCCTTGAGCAAAAGAGCTCAGCAACAGCACCCAGGCATGAGTTCAAGCCCCACAACCAACCAACCAAAACAAAAAAGCCTAACAGATGACATGAAAATGTAAATCCCAAATTACTTTACATGAGTCACAAGCATTCTCCTCTTTGGTTTTTCCAATCCTTTGAAAACACAGAAGTCATTTTCAGCTCACAGGCCATGCAAAAAGCAGACAGTGGCTAACTTAGCCTGGGAGCCACTATCAGACTAGACTGGCAGACGGAGCAGCCAAGAGTGCTGTGCAAGGTGAAGACACTGATTAGGCCTCCCATGACCCCTTCACACACTGACAGGCCCTACATCTGGGGGCAAGGGGAGAGAGAGCAGGCAGGAAGCGCCCTGTGCAGGTGCAACACCCTGGGTCTAGTCCACTCTACTGCCAGGACTACCTTACCAGCTCCTGTTCCAAAGGACCTGTCCCCAGGTAGAGAGATGCCATCACAACCCTCCTCTTGGCTACTTTTATCTGCCCCTGAAAAAGAAAAAAATCATTCAGAGTTCACATGATTTTTTTTTTTTGGTTGTGGGGCTTGAATTCTGGACCTGAGCACTGTCCCTCAGCATTTCAGCTCAAGGCAGGTGGTCTACCATTTGAGCCATAACACCAATTCTGGTTTTCTTTTGTTTTGTTTTGTTTTGATTTTTTTGGGGGGGTCCGTTCATGGGGCCTGAGTTCTGGGCTTGGGCGCTGTCCCTCAGCTCTTCAGCTCAAGGCTAGCGCTCTACCACTTGAGCCACAACGCCACTTCCGGGTTTTTTCTTTTTGCTTATGTGGTGCTGAAGAATCGAACCCAGGGCCTCAGGCATGCAAGGCAAGCGCTCTACCACTGAGCCACCTTTCCAGCCCCCCCCAATTCTGGTTTTCTAAGTGGTTTATTGGAGATAAGAGTCTCACTGAATTTCCTGCCTGGGCTGGCTTTGAACCGTGATCCTCAGTTCTCAGCCTCTAGTTCTCAGTAGCTAGGATTATAGGCGTGAGCCACCAGCACCAGCTTACATCAATAAGTTGCATAGTTCACTAAGAAAACAGGATCTTGGACATTTGAGGTAAATCATACTGTAAGCTGAACTATCCTATGTACTTACCAATTAATATTAAAAGTGTGTGAAATATCACAGCAAAACCCCTTGGTACAATTAATATACACTAAAATAAATGAATGACAGCAAAGCAAAATACTTTCTGTTAGGGGCAAGTATCAGCAAAGGGAGAGGGTGAATATGGCCAGAGTACTTTACATTCAAGTACAAAAACTGAACAATGAAACCAGCTAATAAGGGAGACCACCCTAGCTCTGAGTTTAGGCCTTAATGCCGGCACAAAAATAAAGGGGAGAGGAGAGAATAAAACAGGCTAATAGAGGAGGTGAGGTTGATGTGAAACATTGTATGTATGTAAGGAACTGTCACAATGAAATCCCCCTTGTACAATTAATGTATGTTAATCATCTTAATTAAGCCAGTTCCAGTGGCTCCCATCTGTAACCCTGTCTACTAAGGATGCTGAGCAATAGAGGATGATGATTTGAGGCCAGAAAGGGCAGAAAAATTCACAAGACTCCATCTCCCAAATAACCAGCAAAAAGCAGGGCTCAAGGTGTAGCTCAAGAGGTAAAGCACCATCCAAGTAAGCACGAGGCCCTCAGTTCAAACCCCAGTACCACCAAAATGTTGAACTTAAAAATGGATACATCCCTCAAAGATATATGTATAAGCACATGTGTGCATATTTTTAAAATAAACTCAAACCATACGGTAACTTATCAAGTAAGAATCAACAATCCGCTGGGTGCTGGTGGCTCAATCACGCCTGTAATCCTACTCAAGAGGCTGAGATCTTAGGATCGCCGTTCAAAGCCAGCCCAGGTAGGAAAGTCCATAAAACTCTTATCTCCAATAAACCACCAGAAAACCAGAAGTGATGCTGTAGCTCAAGTGGTAGAACACTATCCTTGAGCTGAAGAGCTGAGGGACAGCACCCAGGCCCAGAGTTCAAGCCCCATGACCGACCAAAAAAAAATCAACAATCCTAAAATACTCAGCTTACTACAAAATATAATACAGCTGTTAAGAAGAATGAAGGAAGCCAGGTACCCATGGGTCAGACCTGTAAATCTAACTACTGCAGAAGGCTGAGATCTGAGAATCAGAGTTTGAAGCCAGCCAAGCAGGAAAGTCCATGAGACTTAATCTCCAACTAACCACCAAAAAGCCAGAAATGTAACTGTGTGTTAAGTGGTAGAACATTAGCCTTGAACTTTTATGCTCATGGACAGCACCCAAGCCCTGAGTCCAAGGTCCAGGACCAGCGCTCACTGTAGTAAGGCAGCCTGGCAAGAAGGCAGGCCTGGGGACCAGGCCGAAGCCAGGGCTGGCCTCTCTCCCCACAGCTGTCCCGGAAGAAAGGCTTGCCACTCCATGTGACATGAGCCAGAGGAGCTGCCCACCATTCAGTCCAGAGGAGAGGGTCTGGGTTCTGCCCAGTCCACAGGGCCCAGCTATCTATCATACCCCTCTGGCATCGGCAGTGGGCAGGCACAGAGACAGTCATCTTTCACCCATGCTCAGTGAAGACACTGAAAAAAAAACACCCTTGGAAAAACTGTTTCCTCAAATCAAGAAGAGAAGCAAGCAGGAACAAAGCATATCTCAGCATGGTTCTTGGTACATAAGGAGGCCAAGGACAGACACGCAGTTTGGCAGCTTCGAGAAAGGGGAGCAAGGAGCTTAACCCAGAGGTACATACCCACAAGAATAACAAGCCAACTAGGAATGAAGCTAACCGCCAAACTGGGGCAGAAGGAGACAAAATGGTAGTCTTCAATGGGATCAGAGCCGATTTTCTGCAAGAGGGTCCTCTACCTTAATCTCCCTACATCATGTCTGTGTGCCTGGCCTCATCAGATCTCCATTCCAGCATCACTGTTAACATGAACTCAGAGAGGCTGTGTTGCTAAACATTTAATTAGTGCTGAATAACTTAATCCCAATTAGCAGCCCAACCACAAACAACTAGACGGGGCATATGGACCTGAGGAATGTGTGGAAAGCTGGACCCCTACACTCCCAAGTTGACATCATCACTGGAGAAGGCAGGCACACACAAGAGAGCCCAAGAACTAAGACTAGCAGACCTCAGCTCAGAGCTTCCCAGTTATCTTGAAGCACTCTGCAGTGAGTGCTTCAAGGGCAAAGGCTGCAGCCCATACACCAGATTCCACACACCAGATACCACCGTGGACCTCCCTGAGTATCACATCTACCAAGAAGACAAGCCAGGCGCTGGTGGCTCACACTTGTAATCCTAGCTACTCAGGAGGTTGAGATCTGAGGATCGAGGTTCAAAGCCATACCAGGCAGGAAAGACCATAGGACTCCCATCTCCAATAAACCACTAGAAAACCGGAAGTGGTGCTGTAGCTCAAGTGGTAGAGAGCTCGCCTTGAGCTGAAGAGCTGAGGGACAGCGCCCAGGCCCAGAGTCCAAGCCCCATGTCCGACAAAAAAAAAGGGGGGGGGGCTGGGAAGGTGGCTCAGTGGTAGAATGCTTGCCTTGCATGCATGAGGCCCTAGATTTGATTCCTCAGCACCACATAAGCATAAAAAAAAAAAAAAAGTCAGAAGTGGTGCTGTGGCTCAAGTGGTAGAGTGCTAGCCTTGAGCTGAAAAGCTGAGGGACAGTGCCCAGGCCCAGAGTTCAGGCCCCACAACCGGACCCAAAAAAAAAAAAAAGAAGACACCACTGGGCCTGGTGATGCTTCCAGAGGTAGGGCCCATCCTTCTTCCCAGGCATCTTCAGGGGAGATGCGCCCCACTAACCTCTCTTCTCACAGTCCATTCAACTAAGGGGAACAAAGAATCCGCATGGCCAGAAGAATCAGGGTCTGGCCCCAGCCCTTACTGCTTCCTGCTCTAATGGTGGCCACACAAAGAAGCTTCATTAGTGGTTCAAATCAACATGTGAACCTGAAAACAAATAGAACCTGAAAGCTAACTGAACAGCCTCAGCAGTTTCTAAAACATAGGGTGTTCACGACTTACCCAACCTGAAAACCCTCAGCTTATCCCTTTGTTCTTTAGAGATGTCTTACCTTCATAAGCTCGAAGAACTCTGCAGGGGAAGAAAGCACTTTGACATGAGAGCTGGAGACGCCAAACTCTGGAACGAGGTTTCTGATCCACTGGAACCTGTGCACACCTTCAGGGCACAGGCAGCAGGGTGGGGAGGTGACCTGGGGGATGGCTGGGGACAGCAAGGGAGCCAGTAACAGCCATGGCGACCTGGTTAAAGAAACACACAAATGGGTTACTACCCCAGTACTCTGCAGATCCCTATCTAAGTCCCTGGGGAGAGGGGGGAGATTTCTTTTAGCCAATCTATTTTTCTATAACACTTTGGAGAGTAAGCCCTAGCCAAGCTCTGCAGACATTTCCCTCAGCTCTCTTCCTTTCTAACATCTTGAAGGGCCTACTGTTGAGCAACTTCAAGTGCCAGCACCTAGGATAAACCCCAACAAGTCAATTCTAAACAATTCAGGGAACAAGTTTAGAACAGCCACAAGTAGACTCGCATTGACTACTGCCACCTCCTTAAAAAAAAATCCACCTCAAAAAATCTACAAATACACAGAGCCAGGGTAAGCTTGGTAGAATTCTGAGGATGACAACGCAGACCTGGAGTCAAATGACTCATGAGATGAACAGAGTCTGGTCAAGGCAGGACCCCAAAAAGTACATTTTTCTTTTCAAAACTCAGATCTGGAGAGACAGCTGGAGCAGAGGAAGGGTGGGAAAGGGAGTGGCTTCAGGGGTGCTAGCGATCTGGGCCCATGGCCACAAGTCACGGTCTCCTCAGGGACCACACAACACTGCACCCCGGGAAGCCCCCTACTCCACCAAGACTGAGCCTGGAGGAACCCTGGTACTGCCCATGGATCTCTATCTGCTAACACACACACACACACACACACACACACACACACACAGAGAACACCCTGGTGCTGCCCATGGATCTCTATC